CCACCTTAGGTGTATGTGGCTGGCGCCTTAGCCACTTGAGCCACAGGTGCCGAGCCTTCTCTTAAAGTATTAAAGACTTCTGACATTTTCTTCTGCTTCCTGTATTACCTCTATTTCCTCTGAGTTCCTTTTTCAGGATGTCTGCTTTGATCTTTGTCTTTCATGTTAACAGTTTCTCTCAAATGTGACCATTCATAATTAAGAAAGAGACATTGAAAAACCAAGTGAATCAACTGATGAACAGATAAATAAAATGTTGCATAGCTGTACAATGGAGTATTACTTAGCAGTAAAAAGATGCATCCTACAAGATGGATGAATCTTTTCTTTTTGAGACAGAGCCTCAAGCTATCCCCCTGGGTAGAGTGCCATGGCATCACAGCTCACAGCAACCTCCAACTCCTGTGCTCAAGCAAGTCTCTTGCCTCATTCTCCCAAGTAGCTGGGACCACAGGCATCCACCACAACATCTGGCTATTTTTTTTTTTTTTTTGGTTGCAGCCGTCATTGTTGTTTTTTTGGTGGGCCCGGGCTGGATTCAAACCTGCCACGTTAGGTGTATGTGGCTGGCGCCTTAGCCACTTGAGCCACAGGCACTGAGCCAAGGTAGACAAATCTTGAAAGTGTTATGCTAAGTGAGGAAGCCAGTTACAAAAGAGAATAGGCAAATCTATAAAGACAGACGTAGATTAGTGATTGCTTAGGGTTGGAAGAAGTGAGGGATGACTTCTATAATATGAACCTTATAGAATGTAAGGTTTCTTTTAGGAGGAGTAACAAGAGTGTTCTAAAATTGATGCTGGTGATGGTTGCGTGACTCTATAAATGTACTAAAATCCATTGATTTGTGTGTATATATTTATATATATGTATATATGCATATATATTTTTGTTGTTTTGAGACAGAGTCTTACCCTGGGTATAGTGCTGTAGCATCATCAAAACTCATAGCAACCTCAAACTCCTGAGTTCAAGTAATCCTTCCGCCTCAGCTTCCCAAATATCTGAGACTATAGGGGTGTACCACAATGGCCAGCTAGCTTTTCTATTTTTGATAGAGATGAGGTCTCACTCTTGCTCAGGCTGGTCTCAAACTCCTGAGCTCAAGCAATCCACTTGCCTTAGCCTTCCAGAGTGCTAGGATTATAGACGTGAACCACTGTACCCACTGACTTGTATATTTTAAATGGGTGAATTTTATTATATGGAAATTATATCTCAATAAAACTTTTTTAGAAAGGGAAGGGACCAAGCTACAAAGAAGTAACTTATGTAGAGTCACAGCAATAAAGGGTATTAAGATACTATCTTATTTATAGATATGGCAAGTCATTTCTTTTTTCTTTTTTTGAAATAGGGTACTATTCTATTGCCCAGAATAGAGTGCAGTGGCATGTTCAAAGCTCATTGCAGCCTCAGACTCCTAAGGTCAAGCAATTTTTCTGCCTCAGCCTCCCAAGTAGCTAGGACTATGAGCACATGTCACCGTGCCTACCTAATTTTTTGACATTAATTTTCATAGAGACAGAGTCTCATTATGTTATCCAGCTGGTCTCAAACTCTAGCCTTGAGTGATCCTCCACCTCAGGCTCCCAAAGTGCTGAGATTATAGTAGTGAGCCACCACACCCAGCCTGGCCATATGATTGATGGTTGTATAAGCCTGTTGTGGTTTCAGCTTTTCTAAGGCTAACTACCCCCAAAATGAATTTCATGCATTAATTGTCAGACCTTTGTTAAGTCCTCTACCCTCAAACTGGGGAGAAGTCTGCCTAGCAGTTTGATAGCAGATATAAAGAAACTTCATTACAGAGATTAGGATTTTCCAGCATTTAGAGTCTTTTTAGCTATTTTAATTAAAAACATAGGGAGAGGCTGGGCAGCGTGGCTCACCTCTGAAATCCTAGCACTCTGGAGGCCGAGACGGGTGGATTACCTGAGCTCACAGGTTTGAGACCAGCCTGAGCCAGAGTGAGACCTCATCTCTAAAAATAGCCGGGTGTTGTGGTGGGTGCCTGTAGTCCCAGCTACTTGGGAGGCTGAGGGAAGAGAATCAGAAGCCCAAGAGTTTGAGGTTGCTGTGTGCTGTGATGCCACGGCACTCTACTGAGGGTGACAAAATGAGACTCTGTCTCAAAAAATAAATAAAATAACAATAAAAACATAGGGAACTTGAGAATTAATTACACTATTTAATTTGCTTTTTATAATTTGAAAATTTTCACAATGAAGTTTTAAATACACCGTGTGGGTTATTGTACATTTTGCATTAGGATCTTAAAAGTTATCTGTATCTTTGTGATTGACTTTAAAGTTGCTCTCTCCAGTTCACCTTCAAAATCCCACTGATCTCTGACTTTTCTCTTCAGGTAACTTATGCTGCCAGGGATGCCCAGATTTCAGTGGCTCTCTTTCTCCATCTTCTTGGATACCCTTTCTCTAGGAATTCACCTGTAGAAACAAATGATGACCACAGTGCCTGGAGAAGAGTCTTAGAGAAGTGTCAGGATGTGGTAGACATCCCATTTCGAAGCAAAGGACTTAGCAGATTGGGAGAAGAGGTTAATGGTGAAGCAACAGAATCTCAGCAGAGGCCAAGAAGTAAGAAGTCTAAGGTCGATGACATGGTGCCAGGCAACCACCAAGGGAGAGACCCCAGAAAACATAGAAGAAAGCCCCTGGGGGTGGGCTATTCTGCCAGGTAATTGAGTTGTTCACTGTCTAGTCAAAAGTCAGTGACCCAGCCTTAGCAAAGGTGGTGATGCTTCACCTTGGGTCTGGGGCAAAGGCTTGTGGTAAGGTGGTAAGGGAACAGAGTCTCTCGGGGGTTAATTTTACTTTTACTTTGCTTCAGAGATATTTGGACTATTATTTGCTTTCTGTATCATTTTTTTCCTTTTTCCCTTCTTTTACATTTTCGTTTTTGATAATTAGAGTAGAAATGAGTATTACCCTAGCTTTGTCACTGACCCTGATGTGACCTTAGGGTCAATAATTATATCCCTAACTATAAATGGGGGTATAATTATTATTATTTTCTTATTTCAGATTAATATAAGGGTTCATAAGATTATGTTACATTGTTTGTGTTTGTAAGATAGTCTGAGTTGTAGGTGAGTCTTTCACCCAGGAGGTGTGCCATATACTCCTACATTGTACCCACTAGTTGGGAGGTTACTGAGCCCCTCTCCCCTTCTCCCTTCTCTCCCCTTCTTGAATATAATTGTGTTTTTCTCTCATGTGGGCCTGTAGTTGTTCATCTCCTAATTTCATGTTGAGTACATGGGATGCTTGCTTTTCCATTCTTGAGATACTTTACTAAGGAGAATGTTCTTCAACCCCATGCAGGTAAATGCATAAGATGCAAAGTCTCCACCTTTTTATGGCTGAATAGTATTCCATAGTATACATATACCACAGTTCATTAACCCGTTCATGAGTTGAGGGGTACTTGGGTTGTTTCCACATCTTTGCAATTGTGAATTGAGCTACTGTAAATCTTCAAGTGCAAATATCCTTATGGTAAAATGATTTTTTTCTTCTGGATAGATACCTAGTAATTGGGATTATAGGATCACAAAGGAAGGTCTACTATTAGCTTTTTAAGGATTCTCCATACTTCTTTCTAGAAATGCTCTATTAGTTTGCAGTCCCCCCAACAGTGCATAAGTGTTCCCTTCTGTCAGCACCCATGCCAGCATCGGCATTGTCCCTAGTCATCAGAGAAATGCACATCAAAACCACCTTGAGATATCACCAAACGCCAGCAAGAGTAGCCCACATCACAAAGTTCCAAAGCTGCTGATGCAGCTTGGGGTATAATTTTTATTCCTTGCTTGTTTCAAGATAACTGTGAAAATGAATAAGAAGTACCTCATTCTTTTCAGGAGAAATGTATCATTTGACTTTTTATTCATATGGCATTTGGTTATTTAGAAAATGATATCCAGCTCTAAGAAAATGTTATCTATAGCTGATGAGAATATTCTTGTATAACTTAGACCTCTATTATAGGAAGTTACCCAATCAATACTTTGGAGCAGAAGTTTAGTCCCTGTAGCAAAGTGCCTTTAGGAACTGGATGGTTAAATTGAAGGAAGTGTTATATGTGAGCCAGAAATAGATCTATATGGCCCTCATTACTTTAGCTTGAGTTTTAAAAATTTTAATTTACTCAGTTTAATCTAGTGATTTGGCAGTTTTGTTTTTCCTCTGTTCCTGTTTGTGTTCACGACAGAGCTATGTAATCACTACCCAGCTCACTCCCTAGGGTCCCAGTCTGTAAGTATAAAAACTAGAGACATAAACTAACTCTTTTTTTTTTTTGAGACAGAGTCTCACTATGTCACCCTGGGTAGAGTGCCGTAGCGTCACAGCTCACAGCAACCTCCAACTCTTGGGCTTAAGTGATCCTCTTGCCTTAACATCCCAAGTATCTGGGACTACAGGCACTCATCACAATGCCTGGCTATTTTTTGGTTGTAGTTGTCGTTGTTTGGCAGGCCCAGGCTGGATTTGAACCTGCCAGCTCCAGTGTAGTGGCTGGCACCCTAGCTGCTGAGCTACAGGCGCTGACCCAAACTAACTCATTTCTAATTCTGTTTCCTAGCCTAATGCAGGTGTAGGGTTAAACATGGTTTCTGAACCTTTTTATTTTTTCCATGATTGGTACGTTTGAGCCCAGTGTTGAGAAAAGTTCAAGTCACTCAGAAGAGAATACAGGAAGGCAGCTGACGCCTTGACTGACCTTGACTAACAGCTCTCAGTTTAAGATCTCCCTCTTCCTTTCCTGCAGAAAATCCCCTCTTTATGATAACTGCTTTCTCCATGCTCCTGATGGGCAGCCCCTCTGCACTTGTGATCGAAGAAAAGCTCAGTGGTACCTGGACAAAGGCATTGGAGGTGTGAGAGTCAGCTGTCGTAGTTTCTCTGTAATTAGGTGCCTATGGGTATTGGCAGGAGTAGGAAGTGAGACGGGGAAGAGGGATGGTCAGAAGAAGGCAAGGAGACCTTGAGATGTGTGGGACCGTGTAGTCACAACCCAGAAATAGTGTTCTCTGCCAGGACACAGCAAAGAACAGTTAGGGTGTGCCTCTTCCTAGAGGGGTAGGGGAGTGGGGAGAGGGGAATGTCAAACACTAATGCCTGTTCTTTTCTCTAAGAGCTGGTGAGTGAAGAGCCTTTTGTGGTCAAACTACAGTTTGAACCCGCAGGAAGGCCTGAATCCCCAGGAGACTATCACTTGATGGTTAAAGAGAACCTGTGTGTTGTGTGCGGCAAGAGAGACTCCTACATTCGGTGAGTGTGGTTTTTGTGGTACTGCCCTGAAGGTTTACCCCAGGTGAAAGTTGCCTTTGTGCCTACTTGCAGAGCGCTTACAGGCCTTGTTTGAGTCTGTCCACTTTGGCTGTTCTCCCTGGAGGGCATCCCAGTTTTCCCAAGAGTTTCAACACTCTACCTGGCCTTGCTATAGTGGCCCTACCCCTTCTGAGCCATTTCTTAGTTTCTGGAATGCAGTACTATTCTCAGTAAATCTGCCGTGGAGAGTGGGTCTCTTTTGCTTTAGAAGCTGTATCCTTATAATCTTCCCTTAAGTCAGTGGTTCCCAACCTTCCTAATGATGCATTGTATTTTCATTGTTACAAAGGGGTCACGACCCACAGGTTGAGAACCACTGCCTTAAGTGGTTCACAAGCCTTCTGAGTCTTGGTATTTTTTATGGAATGTCCAAATGACCAGAGAGCTTTTCCTAGGAGCTTAGTTCTCCTCAGAAAATAATGATAGACCTTGCAGTGCCAAAGCAAGGGATTCCTCAGATGAAGAAACCTGGCTCTTTCAGGTCCTTAGGCTTTTTTGAGAGAGTTGTTTTCCAGATGTCAAAGTCCACTAGAATATCTTTTCATTACTCTGAGACTTCCTTCTGGGAGTACAGACATCTAAAACCTCTCCCTCCCCTTGGCCCTCCACTGAAACCTGAAAACAAGAGCTCTATACTTCAGTGAGAGAGAAACCTGGGGTGCAGGTAGGGAGGAACCTGGGGCGCAGCTAGGGAAGTAGCTAGGGAGGAACCTGGGGCTCAGGTAGTGAGGAACTGGGGGCACAGGTAGGGAGGAACCCAGGGTGGTGCTAGGGAAGGAAGTAGGTAGGGAGGAACCCGGGGTGCAGCTAGGGAGGTAAGCAGGTAGGGAGGAACTGAGGGTACAGGTAGGGCTGAGAGTGGAATAGGTAGCATTGCCTTATGTAATCTGTGTTGGTGGTGGTGCCCAAGGCTTCTCAGTCATGCACAGGCCCATGTGCTGGCTTCACATGTGCTCCGTGTTGTGTGCTGAGCACTGCCTTCCCCTGTGGGCTCATTCTAGGAAGAATGTGATTCCACACGAGTACCGGAAGCACTTCCCCATTGAGATGAAGGACCACAACTCCCATGATGTGCTGCTGCTTTGCACCTCCTGCCATGCTGTCTCCAACTACTATGACAACCATCTGAAGCAGAGGCTGGCCAAGGAGTTTCAGGCCCCCATTGGCTCCGAGGAGGGCTTGCGCCTGCTGGAGGATCCTGAGCGCCGGCAGGTGCGTTCCGGGGCCCGGGCCCTGCTCAATGCCGAGAGCCTGCCCACTCGCCGAAAGGAGGAACTACTGCAGGCGCTCAGGGAGTTTTATAGCACAGACGCAGTCACGGATGAGATGCTTCGAAGGGCTGCCAGCCTGGAGATCAGGTACCATTTATGCTTCTGGTCAGCAGAGGGATTGGGGAGTAAGCCAGTAAGTGACCTTAGCCCCTCATCACCTCATAAGACTGCTTCCTGAACAGCCAGGCATTGTGGCGGGCGCCTGTAGTCCCAGCTACTTGGGAGGCTGAGGCAGAGACTCGCTTGAGCCCAGGAGTTGGAGGTTGCTGTGAGCTGTGATGCCATAGCACTCTACCCAAGGGGATAGCTTGAGGCTCTGTCTCAAAAAAAAAAAGACTGCTTCCAGGAGTGGGCCTTGGCTGCTGCAGTGTAGCACCTGGCCCCATGCTCACCAGGCCTCGTCCTCAGTCTATCAGGTGTCTAATGGTGTTAGACACCACAGCAGTGGAACAGAACAACTTACTGGAGAATTACCTGTCCACAGGCAACTTGCTTTTCCTTAACCCTTTCAGAACATATGCCAAGTCCAGTCATTTGCATGATTCTCATGGGAGTGTGAATGCAGTGGAGTTGTATCTTGCATATTCCACACTGAGATAAATCCTAAAGTTGGCATGTGAGGTGAAATAATAATTCAGTAATCTCTTCAAATCTCTGAAATTCCTTCACAAAGTACAATACAGTCATCCCTTGATATGGAGCATTGGTTCCAGAACCTCCTTCAGATATCAAAATCCACCCATGCTTAGGTCTCTGATGAAAAATGGATTCAGATGATAAGAACTTTGAGCTTAGTTTTGCTTCCCAACTATCACTTTTTAAATAGTACTAGGGCCAGGCGCCATGGCTCACGCCTGTAATCCTAGCACTCCAGGAGGCCAAGGCTGGTGTATTGCCTGAGCTCACAGTTTGAGACTGGCCTGAGCCAGAGTGAGACCCTGTCTCGAAAAAACAGCCAGGCATTGTGGTGGGCATCTGTAGTCCTAGCTACTTGGGAGGCTGAGACATGAGGATCACTTGAGCCCAAGAGTGAGTTAGAGGTTGCTGTAAGCTGTGATACCACGGCACTCTACCAAGGGTGACAAAGTGAGACTCTGTCTCAAAAAAAAAAAAAAAATAGTACTAGTGATTGAAATAATGAAACTGATAAGTTCACAAAACGCTGAAGGTAATGCTGATTACCTACAGGGTTTTTCTCTTTTTTTCTTTCTTTTTCTACCACCCCCCCTTTTTTAAAGCTAGGCTCACTCTCTTGCCCAGGATAGAGTGTGATGGGGTCATAGCTCGCAATAACTTCAAACTCCTGGGTTCGAGCAATTGGCCTGCTTCAGCCTCCCAAGTAGCTGGAACTATAGGCACTTGCCACAACACTCAGCTCGTTTTTCTATTTTTAATGGAGATGGGGTATTGCTCTAGCTCAGACTGGTCTCAAATTCCTGAGCTTCAAGGGATCCCCCACCTCACCTGCCCAGAGTGCTAGGATTATAGGCATAAGCCACTGTGCCCAGCCACCTATATGGTTTTTGTTAATCAATTAAATAGGGTGGTGCCTGTAGCTCAAGCAACTAAGGCGCCAGGCATGTCCACCAGAGCTGGCAGGTTCGAATCTGGCTTGAGCCTGCCAAACAATGACAACTACATAGCCAGGTGTTGCAGCAGGCACCTGTAGTCCCAGCTACTTATGAAGCTGAGGCAAGAGAATTACTTAAGCCCAGGAGTTTGAGGTTGCTTTGAGCTGTGATGCCACAGCACTCTACCTAGGACGATAGCTTGAGGCTCTGTCTCAAATAAATAAATATATATGTGTAAATATATATATTAAAACTAATTACAGCACCAAATACTTTTTTCAAAATCAAAAATGTTTATTTCACTCATGCTACTAATCTATCACAGATACTGAAAATATTTATTACTAAACAGATCTTGTAGATATACTATATCTTGTAGCACTAAGCTGATTAACTACATAAATTGCCCTCATTATTTCTAGTAACAACCTGATGAAGTAGGATTTAGATTTCTTACTTGTTAACTAGTAATATATTTTAAATTTAAAAAAAATTTTTAATTTAAAAAATACATATAAATTAAAATATATGTATATGTATATTTTTGAGACAGAATCTTACTCTGTCATCCTGAGTAGAGTGCTGTGGTGTCATAAGTCACTATAACCTCAAACTCATGGGCTTAAGCAGTTCTCTTGCCTCAGTTCCCAAATAGCTGGGACTATAGGTGGCCACCACAATTTCTGGCTAGTTTTTCTATTTTTAGTAGAGATGGGGTCAGTCTTGCTCAGGCTAATCTTGAACTCCTGAGCTCAAGCAATTCTTTTGCCTTGGCCTTCCAGAGTGCTAGGATTACAGATACGAGCCACTGGGCCTGGCCTAAAAAATACATTATTGAATTTTATCCTTCAAACTATTCTTTAAGATTATAGAATCTAGGCTCGGCGCCTATAGCTTAAC